AAAAAAAAACAAAAACTAAAAATCCAGCAAGCAGTTCTTAATGAATAATGATCCTCTAGTACTGTAACTAGTTTACAAATCAGCCTTTAAATTACCTGCACCTTGAGAACTGTGCAGTGAAAACTGAACTCTTGTATGGTAGAAGCAGAGACAAAGCATTGGTGTGGAGATAGGAGAGGGACTGTATTCACCATGAGTTAGTTCAGGATGCAACACAGAATATGTCTGAAAGACTGAGATCCTTATCTTTTAACTCAGCCAATCACATGAAACTAAAGAAAAACAATTTATGTTTTTCATTTGAAACCTGAGACACGAAGAGTCTTAAATCACAAATTTGTAGCTATGGACAGGATAGTCAAATTTATTTCAGAACAAAAGCTTTGTTGGGCTGCATCAAATGCAAAAGAAAAAGAATACTTTAGGGGCATGGTTAAATTACCAGTGTGCATAAACATTGAGGTATGCCTCAACTAAGCTTTTAAAACTTTAAAAACTGAACTATAACATATCCATGCAGTAAAGTTTTCAGTGCTGCTAATGGAAAAAAATTTTAAAGCCTGAACTGGAAATTTACAGTATGACAATTTTGTTGCTCTTAGCGTTTGACCCAAGCATACAGATTTTATGACAGGGTCTATGTTAAAAATCTAAACATTTTCACAAGATTTTAACATCACTGGGAAGCTGAATTGAGAGGAAACAAAAGTACAATGCCCGTGACAGCCAGCATTATGTAACTGGGCTGTGAGGTTTAGAAGGCTAGGATTAAAAAGATAGACAAAAGATTTTTAAAAATTACCCCCAATGTTGATGTGCTGATTCAAATGTAAGTACACCAGATACTACAGCAAAGGGGTACACTGCAAAAAGGTCATCTATTTACACAATAGTGATTTAAAGACATTATGGTTTTCTTTACAAATAGATGTAAGAACAGGAATTGTCCATTTTTTAAAAAACTACATTTCAACCCTCCACTATTACAATCCATTGAATTGCCTACATTAGAGGCAGTTTGTTTTGTTTTTTCCCCATTTGACTTTCAAATAAATTTCCATCATTTCTTCTTTATCCGTGGCCCTGGCTCTGAGAAGTCTCTGGCCACAAATCATAGGAGGGCAGATTTTTGATCTGTAGTTAAAATCACCAAAGCCAGAGCTCTGCTTGCACACTGTCCCCTGCTCCCTCTGCTGCACAGTTCAGTCATCACTATCAGACAGTGTCTCATACTGTGCGGAGAGGAGTGGGGCAGGTTCCCGCTCCCAGATCCGGTTCTGTTGATGGGGAGCTGCTTGGTTCACAGCAGATGGGGCACATGCGACTGGTGTTGGTGGTGTACTGCTGAGCATCCTCATGGTCAGAGGATTATAAGGAAATTGAGTTGAACCTGGCAAAAGAATAATACAGGTTTTCAGTATTGTGAGCATACTTGCTACTACATCCAATCCAAGCAGAACAGGAATATTCTGCTAAAATGGTTTGGTATCACCCTGAAAACAAGGAGGAGCCAAGGATTCACCACATGAGATTTTAGCCAACAATCAGTTTGACTCTAACATGAGTGACCAAATGGGTAGAGGTGGTAAATCTCTGGAAGAGGAACTGCTAAGGCCAGGCATGGTGGTGCATGCTTTTAATCTCAAAAAGACAAAAAAACCGGGGGTGGGGGGATGAAAGATGAAGATGATGACGCTGGACTATACTTTTAAATGTCTGGTACCATGTCACATGTTTCCATGGAGAGTCCAAGCAGAACTACTGGACTGTGATTGAAGGAGCCTGGTTATACTAACAACTTGGACTTTCTAATAGAAGTTAGGAGTACAATTTCCAGAAAGGGCAAGTACCCAGGAACTGTAGCTAGGCTGTATGGCACCGACAGAATCCCACTGGGTAGATTAGGAAGTATGGGAGATTCAGAAATGGGCAAGCACCAAGTAACAAAGCACTGTTTCCTTTTGTCAATTTCTAGGTCAGTTGTCCCCATAGTACCTCTGATTTCAAGAAATTAAAACTAGAAAACATGCTTTTTTTTTTTTTTTTTGGGCTTTTTGAGACAGCGTCTCCCTGTAGCCCCAGCTGTCCTGGAACTCACTATGTAGACCAGGCTGGCTTCGAACTCACAAAGATCGGCCTGCCTTTGCCTCCCAAGTGCTGGGACTAAAGGCGTGCGCCACCATGCCTGGCAAACCATGCCATTTTATCAAGTAATCTAATGATCTAATGAAATTCCTTCCCTAAAATAGAAGGCAATGGGAAGCAGGTGTCAAAAAGCAAAGGGGGCATAGGTGGGGACAAGTGAGCACACATGGGTATGAAGATGTCATGGTGAAGCATGCTATTTTGTATGCTAACCTAAAAAAAATTATTTTTTATTATCCCAAAGAGAAGCAATTTTAAACACAACTTTCCAGAAATAAAGACTTAAGTTTTCAGACTAATATATGATAACTTTACATATGACATGAGAATTTTAAAAGGCCTTGAGTTATACTGGCACAGCAATCTTAAGGGGAAAGGCACATTTCAGATTTTTTTTTTTTTTTTTTTTTTTTTTTTTTTACAAACTCTCCCTTT